AGGTGCCTTACTAGTAGTAACAAGAAGCTATTAGTAACAGGTGCATCCAGATGGTTCAAACCTGAGAGTTTATCCTAAAAGGACCTAAGACCTTAGTTTATGCACACCAGGAAGGCAAAGTCTGGAGAAAGTGCTACAATGCTTCAAATGAAAGCCCACCAAGTTGTGCGAAGCTTGAACTACCAAATGCTTAGGGCATGGCGCATGGCGCATTTGGTCCGAAGAGGTATGCAAGTGGAAGTATGTAAGTGCAAGCATGCAAGTGATGAGCATGCAAGCATGCAATGGGTATGCAAGCATGCAATGAGTAGGCAAGTGTGAGCATGGAAACCAGCACGGGAGATGTTCTAATGAAAACACATTTCCCCACTTTGCAAGTTCTCTTTTAAAGGCGGAGGGTGGGACGAACAGGGTCGACCGAAAGTGCAACAACCCTTGACGGAGGTGGTGCATGTGGAGTTCGCGGAATGCAGGCGGGAGTGGGATTTGCCGGGTGCCCGCGCAACAACCCTCTGCGGAGATCGTGCCCGTCGGCAGGCAAGAGTGCGATTCGCCGGGTGCAACCCTCTGCGGAGATCGTGCGTGTTGAGTGCGCGAAATGCAGGCCAGAGCGCGATTTGCCGGCTGCGTGCGCAACCCTGTGTGGAGATTGTGCGTGTCGAAATCAATCCCCCTTTCTTATGCTCATTTTATTTTCTTTTCTTTTTTTCTTTGATCACACACTTTGGACCCAGCAGGCTCCAACTCGTCCCGTGCTGAAGATCAAGTGGGGCTGGAGGATTTTCACTTTGGAAACTATATAAGACCGTTCAGTAGCTAGAAGCTACTAGTAACCAGTGCATCGCTACTAGTAACAAGAAGCTACAAGGCTCCTGGCCTCGCTACTAGAAGCAAAGGACGCTACTAGAAGCCACGAGTCTCCACGACCTTTCTTCCTTTTCTTTTTGCTTTGTTTCTAGTAGCGATGGCCTCCAACCTAGGCACCCCCACCTCATGTTCCAAAGCAAAGCTGAGAGGTCCATCGATCAACGACCTCCGCGGAAAACAACGCAGCAACGCTCCAAATCCACTCATGGCTCCTATCATTCATAATTCTTGTTTCTAATAGCTTCTTGTTACTAGTAGTAAGGCACTTGTTACTAGAAGCGATGCACTTGTTCCTAGTAGCTTATTGTTTCTAATTAATAATCAAGGTTAAACGTATGGGAGTCACATCGCGGTGTCATACTCACTCAAGGTCTAGAGAAAAGAAACAATCGGAACAAGAAAAGACTCTGTCTCTCTCTCTCTCTCTCTTCTTATCCTCTCCTTTTCCCTTAAAAAATCAGTTGCTGTAGTGTAGCTCTCTTCTTCCTCTCCTAATGCCTCATTGACATCTCTCTTGTTCGTTTGAGGTATCGGGCCCTTCAGCCTCGAAGTGTCTGTCACTTCTTTCTTTTGAGCTTTCCTTCTTCATTCTTTCATTGTTCCCACTTGCGGTTTTCCTTGTTCTTTCATTTCATTCTCTTCAGTTCTTCTCCTCTTCTCATGTCTTTTTCCCGCAAGACTGAGCGCGTCTTTTAACGGGGCCCCCTTGCCTCGTCTTCAAACGTGCTTCTTCCGCCTCTACAGCAGCACAACATTCAAGTGAAATCTAGAAAGAACAAAAAATGGACGAAAGCGATCACAATATGCTAAGCCCTGCTAAGCCCCACTAGCTCCAGGTGGCCTGTTTAAGCTGCATTCTTGCAGTGCGAGTCAGAAGCATGTTCCAGGTTTTGACCCCGAATCGATCACTCTGAAGCTGAAGCGTGTTCCAGGTGCCTCAATGCAGGATGACCAGAATTCAGAGGCACCTGGTCGACATGTCGAAGGTGTTGTTCCTCGACGGCATGCGAGAACATAGCCTGGGTATGTGTGTCGAAAGTTGGAATGGGACGAAGGAATGAGGCGAGAACAAATTCGACTCACTAATGGTTCTCAATGTGAAACTTGCCCTAATTCATTGACATGGACACGTGCCGACACACGCCAAATGATCGACTTAAATCAACGTCAGCTTTGCCGCGCCTTGGCCGTCCAAGTGACATATAAACAAAGACACCGGCAACTCCTCAGGGCCAGATGCAAATTTCGGACCTTTTAAGGATAGACTTTGGATGCATCGCTACCAGGAACAAGGGGCATCGCTACTAGGAGCAAGGACGCTACTAGTAGCTCCTGGCCTTACTACTAGGAGCAAGCACACTACTAGTAGCAAATTATACATTCCTGTTTGGTTTTTGGGCATGTAGGCGTCTTGGCTATTGGTGAACAAACACTCCACCTGTGAACACATGCAACAAAAAGCAGAGGAAGTTCGACAATTGTCTTTAGCTTTGTTGACTGTTTGGAGTGTGTGTAGGTAACATGGAAAATGACACGGCCAGCACGTAATGTCTTCTGCCAAGGGTCTGTCATCACCACACTGTGCGGGCCTGCTATTGACAAATACCTCAGCTGCGCTTGGACATTGGAGCCAGAAATAGCAAGAGAACGCTCGCGGAAGTTCTTAGCATGAATAAGTTTAATCAATAGAAAGGAAAGGTCTAGAGGTCCAGAAAAGAAAGGAAAAGCCTTTAAGTCTCTTTGGACATCACTCCTGCACTTATGTCATGATTCATCTTTAAAGGAATGCTAATTGCTCAGATATGAAATGCCTAAGACTTCACTACCCTCTCACGGTGCCCAAAGCCTAATCCCTTGCGAACAAGAAAGGCTTTCTCAACCTTGAGCTCTTTGCAAGAGAGCTACTTAGCCACATTCTCCATATCTATACAACAAAGCTCGAGACTAAGGAAGCGAAGCAAGTCTTCTTTTGCCAGTTTCCTGTATTCAGGTGAAAAGCGGGTAAATGCAACCCCTTTGCTGAAGGCATATGTGGCAGGAATTGCCCTTGGCAGCCAACCGCCTGCCAAAAGTGCCAAGCTGCCGTTGGCTTCGTCGCTCCCGCAGGAAAACCCGACTTTCATCTTCGATCCTTGAGGGGAAATGGCGCTCAAAAGCTGTCCCAAGCTCCTCCGGATTTTTCTTGACTTGAAACAATGATCAAGCTACTAGGAGCAAAGGGCTAGGAGCAAGAAGCTACTAGGGGCTCCTGGCCTTACTACTAGGAGCAAGGACGCTACTAGGGGCGCTCCTGGCCTTTGACTCTCTTCCACTCTAGACTCACGGCTTCATAACACGGGTGGATAACAGGCACACATATGCCTGCAATCTGGGCAAGCAATCTGACCCGGTTGAGTCAAATCAAATATTTGACCATTCTTCCTTTTCCTTTTAGCGATGGCCTCCAACCTACAAGCACCTTTTTGATTACCTTTTCTCGGATTCTTCGCGGCCAAGGCAGCCAAGCGAAATCCGCGAGTCCGCGCCTCACCACCGTCGGCAATGCATGCAGCACTGCATGGCCACGGCCGCCTTTGCAAACCGAGGCCAACATCGTTGGATCCTAGTAGCAAACATTGCTCCTAGTAGTAAGGCACTTGTTACTAGAAGCGATGCACTTGTTTCTACTAGCTTATTGTTTCTAATAGCAAACATTGCTCCTAATAGTAAGGCCAGGAGCCCCTAGTAGCGATGCCCTTTGTTCCTAGTAGCTTTGAGTTAGTGCATATGTTTTCCACAAAAATGAAGCTGTAGCTTGGAGGCCATCGCTAGTAGGTTAGAGGCCATCGCTAAAGAAGCAAAAAGTATCGAGTACAAATTTGTCCAAGACATTAAGAGAACATTGGTGTTGCCGTCCATGCCTGCTTCGCCTTCAGCATCTTCTACTTTCGCGCTTAACGCCTGCACGACCGTTGCACGGCAGCCCCAGTTCTTGTTCCTAGTAGAAATGCCCTTTGTTCCTAGTAGCGCCCTTGCTCCTAGTGGCGATGCCAGGAGCTACTAGTAGCTGCGATGTTTCCTCGCCTGAAGTTCTTCGCTCAAAAGCCCAGATGCTCCCCCAAGTGGTTCCTTCACCAATCAGAATCGGAACTCGACCAGTCAAGCTCTTCTAAGCTCTTCTCTCCGTTTCACAAGGGAAAAACTCAATTCTTCCCAGAAAGCTTCCAAAGTGCTTTCATAATGAAAATGCAAAATGAATCCGTTTTTTGTGTTGCTTCTACACTCGACCAGACTCTTCATATGGCCAGTCTGTTCGAACGTGTCCTTCCATTTCCAAAAACTAATACGGCCTTTCTTCCTTTTCCTTTTTTGTGTCTAATAGCGATGGATGGCCTCCCCCCCAATATCGAGGGAACACATCAAGAGAAATTCACCGAGCGGCCGCGTTCTCGAGAAGATGTTGCCAACCTTGAGCAAGGCGCCGAGGCGCAGCAAGGCATTTGGAAAAGGAAACGAAATCGAATCGAATCGCCTTTACTTTCGTTTATTTCGTTTTCTCCAAAATCGAATCCAGCAAAAATCATGAAACTGAAAACTGAACCAGCTGGCCCAAACACAACCTTCCGCGCAACCCCAATTTGCAATAACCTATCAGCAACATCGGGAAAGATCCTTGAGAGATGCCAGAGCCTGCGGAAAGAATTTGTTGGATGCACAAAAGAAACAGGCTTTCATAGAACCATATCAAAAAGGAAACGCTAGTAGGGTGGAGGCATCGCTATTAGGTTTATATAATTCCCTTTCTTCTGCGAAGAATACAGAACCGTCTAAGCTCACTTTTATCCAGGTGGTGCACCAGTCACCTAAAAGAATAAAATAAGCCGGGAACCCCAAACCCAAGCTAAGTAGCCGTCAGGTGAGGATCCATTCTTTTTGCAGTGTTTTCCAACACAAATCACCGACCACAAGCCAACAAAAAACATGTAGAAAGCGTGGCTTTGGATGTCTCCACGGGACTCCCTCATTACGCCACGCCACTAGGTGAAGCCTTCGCCAAGATTTCCCCCAGCTCCTTTACCCGGCGAAGACAACTCCGCCGCCGTCGCTGTGCCACTCGCGCCAAGAAGGAGACGATGAGCTGCTGTTGCTCTGGGATCACCTCCCTGCGAACGCGAACGCTATGGGAAGACCAAAAGGTTCGACCTGCTGAGATGCAAAGGGCATCGCTACGAACGGAGCAAGGACGCTACGTTTGGGGCTCCTGGCCTTACTAGGAGCAATGTTTGCTACTAGTAACAACCTGAACGAACAAGAGAATTGACTTCTCTTCACAGGACCCCCATCAGAAACGTCGCCTACTTAATTGAGGGGAGAAGTTCGCTCCTAGCTACTTGGATGCTAGTAACTGGATGCAGGATAGCTCGCGCTTCTAATGATTTGGTTCCCAGACTTAGGGAAACTCAACAGATTTGGTGAGATGCTGAGGGATCTTGCTATTTCCCTCGACTTGGTGAGAAAGAGTCCGGCACAGGACTCCAAATCCAAAGCAGAAACAATATACTTCAGAAATGCGATTCTTGCTATTAGTAGCAAGGACACTACTAGGGGCTCCTGGCATCGCTATTAGTAGCAAAGGGCATCGCTACTAGCGGCAAGTGAGCGGAAATTCTTCGTCGTTGACTGTGCTCCCCGTCACCTGAGCGCCGAAGCCCGCTCTCCACATGCGGAGTGGCGACAGCCCTTGCGAAGTAGGGCAAAAGCAACCTCAGGGTGGGGCAGGGCCGGGACCATGGTATCGATGTCTGAAAAATATAATCGAAAAGAACTAAAGGTCGGACAAGAAAGAAAGAAAAAGAACAAAGAAAAATGGAAGGAACAAAAATAGAAAGGTCTAAAGCCGCGGCCCTTTTTTACATGGACTGCTCAAGCGCATTCATGCTTTGATCCTCATTCATTATTTCACTTGTCTATGTTGTTCTCTGTTCTCTCTTTTAGCATGTTCAAGACAAATTATCAATCCACTTGAGTCAGCGAATAGCCCGTTCAATTTAGTGTTCGGCAGAGTTTGGGGGCAGATAGCCAAACTGCCATGCTTCTCTTCTTTACAGCGCCAAGATTTGGGACTTGTGGCTGGTAATGGTGCTTCGCGCGGTTCATTTCTTTGCCGGATCTTAGAGATATTCAACATACGCTCTCTTTCATCGTCCGGAGTCCGACACAAGGATTTGACATCAAAAAAGCAAAAAGCAAAGAAATAACCACTCTTCTTGGCCTCCAGAAATGCTTAACACCAAAAAGATCTTTTCCCAGATTTGCGAGTCAAGAAAACAAACTATGAGTGGCAATGTCAATCTGCACATTGTTTCTTCTTGTGGCTCACAAGCCACGCTTGTAACAAGGCACCTCATTCTCGTTCGTGAAGCGTGCCTCCCCAGACATTGCAGACATCACCGCATCAATGCCAGCAGACAGCGCCTTAAAGTCAGGACAGGACAGAATCGTGATCTTTCTAGCCCGGTTGGCCCCGCCTCCTTAAGTAGGTGCCTACTTAATTAAAGCAGAAACTTGTTCGCTACTACCTAGGATAGCTCACGCTTCTTCAAGGAAGCTCTCCCCACCTGAGGCCGGGGGGCAGCTTCCTTGAAGAAGCCCACGCACTAATGATTTGGTTCCTAGATTTCTTGGGAAACTTAAGAGGACACATCAAAGAAACACAAATGACATGTTTTGGTCTTTATCATATCTCGTCTTTGGTAAGAAAACGTCTACTGAGCTCAAGGGTTGTCCAAAATGTCCACGCCCTTCTGACGAAACTAATTAGGGGCGTGAAAAGCTCCATTCGGATTTTGAGCTCTTTGCCCCTTTCTATGGAATCTTTTGAGCAAAGAGAACCACCCTTTCTTCTCCACCACTACTTAAATCTTTCAAAACACCATCTTACAAACATCTGTTGCCGCAAAACGCAAACTTACATCGATCGACCATCTGGACCGCACCTCCTCCGCCCCCGCAAGGTCGGCCTTGGGACCCGTCGGGAGGGTCGCGGTTCTTGCTCCTAGTAGCGATGCCAGGAGCCCCTAGTAGCGTCCTTGCTCCTAGTAGTAGAATTCTAAAAGGTTTGAAAGGAAAGCACAAAAATAGATCTCTGGACTTGAAACGCACTGTCGTCCTAGATATGTAAAAGTTAGTGAGTTGAAGCGATCTTGTGTCATATTGTGACTTTTCTTTATTTATTATTATGTCTATTTGATAATGGCTTCACCCTTTTCACCACCTTAGACAAGGAATAGCTGCAATGTTTTTTGTGGTGAAAAATGTAAAAAGCTCCATGAAAACGATTGATTTCAATGCAGAATGAGGATTGCAAGTTACATATACAATGTCTCTGTCCATATCCACTCGTGATGGTTGCACTGAATTGCAAAAGCTCTGATTAAGGGTGCTTGGCACAAGGAGGAAAGTGTAGAAGCTCCTGGTTGGTTTGCTGGGCTTGCTTATGCCAAACAGCTGCTTGCACCAACCTCCAAGCATGTTTTAGTTTTGATGGTCTTTGAGTCCTTTAGATGGTCCATGTGTCAAAACCTTTGGGCTGCCGGACACGGCTGGGCAGGGTCCCCGAAGGGTCCCCAGAGGCCATCTCACCTATTGCAAAGGCTGTGAACCAGGTGCTACAAACAAAACATGGCAAAGAATGAGTCAAGGAGAACTAAAAGAGTTCTCAAGTTTGTTCTCAAGTAACCAAAAAAAAATGGCAAAGAACAATCACATGATTGGCAATTCGGAATAGGAGCGTTCTACGGTCTTCTAATCAAATGTAGATACTTGGCCCCGGGTAGTTCAACTTCGTGACCAATTTGGTGGCTCAGGGCCTTGACTTCATGTATGTGACCTATGTGCGTTGCTGTCAGTACCATAGTCAGTCCAGTTGTCACAGCTCATGAAGCAGTCAATACCGGCAATCATGCCATGGCATTCCATAGATGGTCTTTACTGTTCCTCACACGAATGCTTAATAAACATCAAAAACTCGCCTCAGGGACAACTCAATAAGTACACCTTACCTTTCCGACTTAGCTACTGGCGTAATGTCCTTGTTACTAGTAGCGATGCCCTTGTTACTAGTAGCTACTAATTATAAGAAGTCACATCTTGTGTTTCACAGTCTCACAGTGATTGTACCGAACTTATTGCCCTGCACTGCCCTGCACTGCCCTGTACCTCGCACGCCCGTCACGTGCCGCCATGGCTCAGCGAACTGTTGAGCCAACGGCAAGGGGCCGACGGCCTTTCTTTCTTTCTTTGTCTTTTCTTTTTCTGTTCGCTATGTTCTTCAGACTTTGGCTGGTTCGCTTTCTTGACCCATCAAGGTGCTTTTCTGTCCCTCGGTTCGTAAACGAAACAGCGATTGGTGGTACGATGTGCCTCTCCGAATCGACATGTCCTGCCGGGTTTCCCTGCGATCTGAAGTCACCCGAGTGCTTTCAATCTATCAACAGAGATGCATCTATGTTCAGATTCTTGGATTGATAAACCAGGAGTCGATCTTGCTCATCCAAATCACCAGCTTGGACAAAGTTCAATTTGATAAAGAAAAGGTCAGAAGAGAATAAAAGGTCTGAGATGACAAGATTTTAAGAAAAGAAAGAGGTCCAAAGAAAACAAAAGGCTCTTCAGAGTGCCATCCTGGCCGTCCTTTTTCCTTCTGCCCTTGGGAATTCTTTCGGATAACTAGGGGCAGCTATCTTCCGAAGCGCAGTTGCAGACCTTCTTGTTGAAGGTATCCTTCCTCGGAAGATGGAAAGTGCATTGCAGTGAAGCGGAACACTTGGACAGTTGAGGATTCGTTTGGGTCTGAAGAATGCCCATTGAAATGCAGTGAATTGTTCCCATCAGAAGGATATGCCTATGCCTCAAAGATCCTCAAAGGACCATGAACCCGTCAAAGGACTATGTCTGGCGCTTGTGCCCAAAGTTGATCCTCAGTCTTTCTGGGAAGATCTGCTGGGTTTCGACGCTGACAGGGGTGAATCGCCTCGCTTTCCACACAATGGACTCAATTGGACTCAAGCTTCGGTGTGAGGATCTTCTGAAGGACCTCCTCTTTGGATAATCGGATGCCACCCATCTCGAACATGCATTCCTTTTCCTTAGCAGTTTGGCTTCGGGCCAGGTCCAAAGGGGGTCATAGCGCTTCAACAATTTGTGGTTTTGCTGGGTACTAGTTAGACCTTCCTGTTTCTCTTTTCCCTTGCTCCCCGATTCGTCCCCTTCCACTACTACGAACGGCTGGGGCTGGCATCATTTCGAAGACAACAAAACGCTTGTACTACAGGTGTAAGTCAAACTTCCCTCAACCTATTTTTGAAGTGATCAGCACAGGACTGTGGGACCGACCTCGACCCATGGATCTATCTCAGCTGGTAACCTACATCCTTCACTATAATAAACGTTCAGTGACTCCATCCAAGGCAGGAAACTATTTCTACTAGAAGCAAGGACGCTACTAGGGGCTCCTGGCATCGCTACTAGGAGCATCCTTTCTACTGTATTCGCACTTCAGTTCAAAAGGTCGGGCAAAGCTTCCATGGCCTTCTGCCATCCCCAGGACATCATCGAGTCGTGGGTCTTCTTCCATGGTTTCATCTTGCCTTGGGGACACGGACCGGAGGCAGGGATCGAATTCGTCGCTTCGTCGCTGCTTGGAACAATTTCATTTTTGCTCTTCGTGTATCCATGATGTTCGGATCCCTCTGGGGAAACTCCTTTTGTCTTGATCTAGTTCGGCTTGTGTGTTCGCAAGAAGGCCGGCTCAGGTGAGTCTTCCTTGCAGGTTGGAGGCCATCGCTAGTAGGTTCCTTATGCTAGGTTGGAGGAAGGCGTGCCCTCCAGGTCGGATAAGTTGCGCTTTGGACGCTGCCCGCTTTTCGAACTGACCGGGCAAACACTGCAATGGTTTGATGCAACCTTTAGCCTCGATCGGCTTTCAACTGGCATGTAGGCGAGCCTCTTTGTAGCTCACGTTGAGGCTCCATGTCGTTCAAGTTTGGTAGCTCAAACCAGCTCCTAGTCTGGCACTCCCAGTGCCATTCTAGAATCCAGTTTTGCATCTCGCCACAGCGGCAAGTCTCACAAACCGAGGATCGACCGATTCAGTATTCGCGAAAAGAAAGGTTCGGCAGAAAGCCACGTGGAAATGAACACAGGAAGTAGCCGTGACAGCCGTCCTTGGAAGTTAGCTACTGGGTTGGAGGCCATCGCTTCTCCTTTGCCATTGTCTTGTGCTGCTTCTGTTCTTCTTCTTCTTCTTCTTCTTCTTCTTCTTGCTTCTGTTTCTAATAGCTTCTTGTTACTACTAGTAAGGCACTTGTTACTACTAGCGTGGCACTTGTTTCTACTATGTTATGTCCTGTCGCGTTCACCCTTTCAGGCAGTTTCCACCCCTAACTTCCAAGGACGGCCTCCCTAAGAGCGATGGCCTCCAACCTACCTTCGATCCATATCATTTGGATTTGTTCGGAACCTTGTGGACCTAAGAAGTGAATCGGTTGTTTTTTCAGGCCATCAATAATTTCATATATATACTGGCTGCATACCTCCGAGAGAATGTGTCATATTGTCCAATCAAAACAAATGAAAAAATATCTTGAGCAAACTCGGGTTGCCTTCCGCCTGGGCAGCCTTTGTGAAGCCTCGCCATTTTCCAGTAGTGGCGTAGGTGCAAAGGGAGCTCACACACTTCTCTTCCAAGCCGGCACGCACATTCACCTCGTGTTTCTCCTTGACAGGGTATTCTCTGAAAGAACTAGTAGAAAATGTAACGAGCCAAATTAAGCGAAGGACTCTACTCCACAAGACTTCTTGGACATGGTGACATGCTGCATGTTCTATCTAAAGAATAAGGCTCGTTGGTGACATCCTTTGCCTTCCAATTGGTGACTTCGACTTCTTCTTCTTCTTCTTCTTCTTCTTCTTCTTCTGCTGCTGCTGCTGCTGCTGCTTCTGATTTTCCATACCTGCTCACTTCCGTCCTTGGCACGTTCTGAACGAAAGCTGCAGAGCTCCCACTCGATGGCCGGAAGTGGCGGCTTTGAGGCCACGCAGCGCGCAAGGTCGGGCGCAGGCTCTAGGGAGTTTTCACTTTTCAGCAGGTCATTCCACCAGAAGCCTGACTGAGCACAAGTCTAAAGAACAAGAAACAAGGACGCTACTAGGGGCTCCTGGCATCGCTACTAGGAGCATTCTTACTACTAGTAACAACATTTAAAAAAAGCAAGAAAGGTCTAAAGTTCCGGTGAGAGACGTGGACCTGTGAAGGTGAAGAGCACAGTTTGGGCCATCCAAATGCACTCAAGGACGCTACTAGGAGCAAGAACAGTAATAGCGATGGCCTCCTACCTAATAGCATCTTTAAATGAACCCATAGGCCCATAGGCCCCAAACTTTAAGTCATTTGAGATTCCATCTTTTGATGCCCGCTTCTTTAAGGCAGTGTGGAGTACAAAGGCGGTCTTTTGCATCAAGAAAGTTCCAAAATAGGAAAGACACAAAAACTGGGCCTGTGCTTAGCCGCGATGTGTTGGTGTTGGCCCACAGCCATGTGGCTGTTCTTGAAAGCCCTCGTTATTTTCCTATACGCTTTACTGTGCAAACCTTATGAATCTTTGTCCTCCCCAGGCAGGAGCATCACAACTACAACAGAAAATCATCCAAATGGAACACGAAGACACCGAAAGGGCACCAGAGGGGGCTTCTTTGCAACAAAGAGCGCTGAGAGTTGCGGAGCTTCCAGAACCAAAGTGAAGCCCCAAACGTGCAAAACAGTGAAACAGTATTTTGTGTAGGGGCAAGGACGCTACTAGGAGCGAAGGCATCGCTAAGAGTTTGACAAAAAAGTCCCTCGAGCTTCTGCCGAACTAGGAGCAAGGACGCTGCTAGGGGCTCCTGGCCTCGCTACTACGAGCAAGGACACTACTGGTAACAAGTTGAAGAGTGATTTACACAAAATAGATGCTTTGGCACAGAGAAACATGGGACGAAGTGCTTGCCATCATAGGTGTACGCGAATTCACAGGACGTCCTCTTGGGCAAGTTCTCGCACGATTCCCACGTCATTTCCTCACGCAGGTTGCGGTGAATCTTGGAACCTGTCCCAAGTTGTTGTCAGGGTCTTCTGCGGCTCAACCTGCCAACACCAAAATCAGAGCTGCACAGAATTTTTAGAACCTTGTTTTCTTCCAAAGCACAAAAACCTATGACCCTGTGATTGTAACACTTCTCCAAATCACAATGACCTTCCGCCCCAGGACGGTCTCTAACTCATTTGCTCGACTCAAATTGCAAAAAAAATAAATCATGTTTCTAAGGTCAGGGGGCCGCTAAAGAGGAAACACTACGTAACTATTAGATCTGGACGCTCGTAGCAACTGGACGCAGGATAGTTCACGCTTCTTCAAGGAAGCTGCCCCCCGCCGTCGCATGAATCACTTTGGTTCCTAATTTGTTAGGAAACTTGCCGTTTTTACATGTTGAAAATGCACCCCTGAACGTTCATCTCCATAATTTTCACTCTCCAAGGCTCCGTTGCTTTCCCACCCCTCGCACCTTTCAACCATCCCGTCCA